GACAAAGTGTGATGAACTCAGTCATCATCTCCCCGAGGGCCCCGAGGCCAGGCCGTGGCTGGATGTGCCTTAAGAGCCAACTGAGTCAAAGGTCAACCCACACAAGGTGTCAGCGTCTGTGCTGCCCCAGGCAGGTGCTGTCTCTCTTCTCACGGGGCCTTGTGCCCAGTTACCTGCCTCCTTCTTCAGGACCAACTGTTTCTTCGGGTGATCCAGTAACTAAGCCAGACTGTGCACCCCATCACAGCGGCCCCGAACCTTTGCTGGGGAGAGATCTGGCCCTCTTCAGAAAAATCCATATGGGCTCAGATCCATCAAAGTTTCCTCTCAGTTTCAGTTCCCACCTGAGGCCCATCTCTTGAACAACAGTTTCTAAGCTCATTCATTTAATTGGGAGGAAAAAAATTATTGAGGATCAGCGACATGGTGGTACGACACTGGTGAGCAAGACAAGGATCCTTGCCTTGTGGAGTGTAGCTTCCAGTTCGTATCATGGCCTTGAAGCGATCAGCAGGTCTGGCAACGTGGCTGGGAATGTGGTGATCCGGATATGGGATCTATGATCTCAAAGAACACAAGTCAAAGCCCCTTTGTAAGAAGAGAAGGAAGGAGAGATGTAAAAGCACATACTCTGAGCCCTAGCCAGTTTGGCTCAGTGGATAGAGCATCAGCCTGCAGATTCAAGGGTCCCAGGTTCGATTCTGGTCAGGGGAAAATGCATAGGTTGCAGGCTCGGTCCCCGTGCAGGAAGCAGCCAATCAGTGATTCCCTCTCATCATTGATGTTTCTAACTCCCTCTTCCTCTCCCTTCCTCTCTAAAATCAATAAAAACATATTTTTTTTAAAAAAGCACATGCTCTGACCAGAACATTTCTATGCCTCAGTTCCTGTGTCTCATACAGCCGAAGGAGTGGGCGGCACCCGTGCTTTGGGAAAATGGTTGGCAGAATCCCCTAAAGCTGGACCCGAGTGTACTCCACTCCACACCTGAGACATGTGCACATGGATGCCAAGAGACTCATCCAATGGCTCCCGAATACTCCTGGTGTCTAATCTCCTTGTAAGCCCCTCCCCTTGAGTGTGGGCGGGACCCGTACCTTCTAACCAACAGCATGCTGCAAAGGAGATGGATGGTTGCCTTACATAAAATCCTAACTGCCATCTAGCTATAGGGTTTTATGGACTCACCTCACTGAGAGGCCCACCTGGGAAGAAACAGAGGGGGCCCAGTCTACAACCTTAAAGAACGGAATCTTTCCAACAACCACATGGCTTGAAAGCAGATCCAACCCCAGTTGAACCTCAGATGAGACCCCAACACTGGTCAACTTCGGATTGCAGCCCATGAGACCCTGAACGGAGGGCCCCGCTGAGCACTGCGGCGACTCGTCACCCACTGAAACCGGGAGATGACACGTGCATGTTGCCTTGAGTGACTGGGATCATCATACTTTGTCATGCAGGAAGAGATAACTAATGCAATGGAATGCAACACAGGAATGAGAATGAGTAAAACATCAAGCTACGTGGTTGAATCTCACACACCCATAAAGTTGAGCGAAAGAAACCAGGCAGAAAACGGAATCTGTGTGATTCCATTTATATGAAATTGAGAAACAAGCAGAACTAATCACCTAAGACTGTGGTCAGCAAACTGCAGCTCATGAGCCACATGTGGCTCTTTGGCCCCTTGAGTGTGGCTCTTCCACAAAAGACCACGACCTGGATGAGTATTTTGAAGAAGTGGGGTTATAAGAAGTTTAAGTTTAAGCAATTTGGCTCTCCAAAGAGATTTCAATCGTTGTACTATTGCTATTTGGCTCTGTTGACTAATGAGTTTGCCAACCACTGCCCTAGGACATTGGAAGTCAGAGTGGTGAGTGGGCAGTGACGAGAAGGGAGCTCAGAGGGACTTGGGTGAGGGCTGGCGAGGCTCTGCTTCTTGGTCTGGGTTCTGGTTCTGCAGGTGCATACACTTGGTGAAAAGTCTTCAAGTGAACACCCCTGAGATGCTCACTTTTCAAAAGTGTATTCTTTTTTAATAAAAAGTTTACCCGGAAAAGCATAGCACTCCAGAGTTAAATAGCCAGGTTCAGGATTTGAACCCACCGCTTACAAAATTTGTGCCTGGACAAGTTACTTTTTTTTTTTTAATATATTTTATTGATTTTTTTTTTTTACGGAGATAAATGGAAAGGGATAGATAGTTACCAGTAGAAACATAGATGAGAGAGAAACATCAATTAGCTGCCTTCTACATACTCCCTATTGGGTATGAAACCAAGGTAATGCCCTTGACTGAAATTGAACCTGGGACCTTTTCTCTCTCTCTCTCTCTCTCTCTCTCTCTCTCTCTCTCTCTCTCTCTCTCTGTCTCTCTGTCTCTCTTTTTTATTAAGGTATTATATGTGTACATATCTTACCATCCCCCCCCTACTCCCATACATGCCCTGACACCTCCCCAACCCAGAGTTTTGCGATCATTGGTTATGTTTATATGCATGCATATAAGTCCTTCGGTTGATCTCTTATCTCCCCCACCTCTCTCTAACCTTCCCGCTGTAATTTGACAGTCTGTTTGATGCTTTACTGTCTCTGTATCTATCTTTTTGTTTATCAGTTTATAATGTTCCTTATTATCCACAAATGCGTGAGAACCTGGGACCTTTCAGTCTGCAGGCTGACGCTCTATCCACTGAGCCAAACTGGTTAGGGCCAAGTTACTTGACTTTTATGTGCCTCTGTTTCCCTTTCTATAAAAGAGAATTAAATAAAACTGTGCATGGCATGGTAGCTGGTTCCTAACAAGCCTTGACCAATATTAGCTGGTTTTGTTAACCACACGCATAAAGGTTCCTTGGTACAAGCAAATAATAATTAATAATCACAATGAAGGTTTGCCCAGAGGCCTGGAAGTAGAATTTATGGGTTTGTCCCACTGAGACCAGCCAGGTTCCCAGGAATCCTCTCTGGGGGCTTTCTGGGGCCGGGACTCAGCCCATCTCTGACATCCACACCCAGAAAGGTGCCAGAGCAACGGGCATAGCGGTATGGGACTGTTCGGAGTCAGGTCTGCTCGGGGTGGGGGCAGAGCCTGGAGCACACAGCATTTCCCCCCAGGTGTGTGTGACCTGGGCTGAGACTGGGCTGCCCCGCATATCATCAGAAAACAACATCAGGCTGCCGAAACTGGTTTGGCTCAATGGATAGAGAGTCGTCCTGCAGACTGAAAGGTCCCAGGTTCGATTCCGGTCAAGGGCATGTAACGTGGTTGCGGGCACATCCCTGGTGGGGGGTGTGCAAGAGGCAGCTGATCGATGTTTCTCTCTCATCGATGTTTCTAACTCTCTATCCCTCTCTCTTCCTCTCTGTAAAAAATCAATAAAATATATTTTTTTTTAAAAGGAAGAAAGTGATGTTTAAGAAAAGAAAAGAAAAGAAAAGAAAAGAAGAAAAGAAAAGAAAAGAAAAGAAAAGAAAAGAAAAGAAAACAACAGCAGGCAATAATTGCAGACACTCAGGAGCGGTTCTCCCGCACCATCACCATTCAGTACTTTACACGGATTAACCCGTTCCATCCTTCCAGGTAGTGCTGCCATTATCTCCATTTCACAGGCGAGAGGAGGAAGCTCCAGGCAGAATGAGACAAACCACAGGCCCATTAAAGGTGCCCTGAGCGCACTCCATCTGCAGTGTTCAAACAGGAGGTGGCGAGGCCCAGGGCACCAAGGAGAATGGACACCGAAGGCTGATCTGCCAGAGAAATGGAGACCCCAAACCAGCAGGAGGAGCGCCCCTTTAAGGAAAAGGTGGGTGTGTTCTCATTTTCTGCCAAGGGAGGGTTGAGGAAGGCCTCGGTTGCCAGTGTTCCTTCAGAGGTTTCAGTTTATTTTGGGGTGTGAGTTTATAAAAGTCTGCATTTCCTGGGCCCTTAGGATCCAGGAGGCCCTCTGCTCTCCCACCTGGCCTCCTCCCCCACTGCGTGGCTACTTCCTGCTGCTCATGCTCTCGTCAGCCCTCCCTGCTCCCAATTTCTCTGGCTCTTTCCTGCCCCCTAGAGGCTTGACAAGCCTCCCTACCTCTCCCAGTGGGTGGGCTGGGGCAACAGGAAAAACAGCAGGTAGTCCTGGGGAGGGGTGCTTCCCCCAATCCAGGGCGGCCAGGGAAGGTGGCTGGGGCAGAATATGGCTTCATGGGGGGCGGAGGTCCCACAGGAAGAAAGCCCAGTGTCTGGCAGGTGAGCTTGGTGGCAGGCCCAGCTGCCCCCTAGGCCCAAGCCCCCTTTCTTTCCCTACTGCCCTCAAACCTGCCAGGTCTTCCAGACAGACAGGAGCCCAGCCTTTTCAGAGATGAAGGAAAGCACGTGTGTCTTGTGGGTGTGACAACTGCCACCGTAGTTCCGGTGCAAGGAGGGGGGTGAGGGGGAGGGGGAAATTCTTCCTTGGCACACTCATCCAGATTCAAATCCTGCCATTTCTCCAGCTGTGCAAACCTGAGTACCTTCCCCAGAGCCTTATTTTCCTGCTAAAATAGTGATGTTACGGCAATAATGATCATTGCTTACGTTTCTGAGCCGGGCTTCTCTGCAGTGCCCACGGGTAGGGACTTCTTAAGGACCATGGCTGATGCAGGTCAACCCTGGGGCCACCGCCTGACACTTCCAGGGACTCAGGGATAAAGAACAAGTGAATGAATAAACGTCCCTCTTGACAGGGAAGTACAGGAACTGTAAGGTCGTCGGTTTGGAAATATCCTTTCCCCAGCAGTTGGAAGAAACCCTCATTCTTTCAAAATTGTTCCTTCCACCCCTTATCTCCCTCCCCCACAATCCTCACCCCCCATCCCCCCAAGAAGTGATGGTCCTCCCGGCTCACTCTGTTTCCTCATCTGCAACAAGAAGGGGGGATTAACCTCCAGGCTTCTCCTGGCTCAGCTCCATCACCTCTCACCCCTGCCACCCCACCCCCCACCCCCAACGCAGCCAGCCTAGGAAGAATTCTTGAGTCCGCTCCTTTCTCCCTGTAAAACCTTGGGACACTTCTGTGAACCCTGAGCCCACGTCTCCCCTTCTGTGAAATGGGGCCGAGGCCCCCTAAGTGGCCGATGGCGGGGAATGGGGTGGGGGGGGGGGTTCCTGGAGGCGTGGGTGGCAGCCCTACTCCACGCCCGCATTCCCAGCGCACCGCCCAGGCCACGCCCCTCGCCCCCTCAGACCACGCCCCCCGCCCTCCCGCTGGCCCCGCGCGTTGCCATGGGGACACGCGTACACAGGCCGGGCGGGTGCGCGGGGCGCCGGCCTCCGGCTGGAGAATCCGCGGGAGCGTGGCCGGGAGGCCTCGCCCCGGAGCGGGCCTGGCGCCTCGCGAGCCCGCCAGGCTGTGGGCGGAGGACGGAGTGCGGGCATCTTCCTCCGGCCAGGTGAGCGCGGCCGCGAGGGGCGGCGGGCGGAGACCTGGCCGGCCTGCCTGTGAGGTCAAGGGCTGCGGTGTCCGGGAGGGGCCGGGCCCCGCCCCAGGCCCTCTCCGATCCAGACCCCGGTCCGCAGGAGCACCCAGAGGAGGTGCCCCCACCCAGCCCTTCCTACCTGGGTGCGGTCTCCCACCTGTCCTCCGAGGGGGCCCCATGGGAGCTTCACAGACCCTCTTTGGCACCACCTCTCCCATGTCCTGTGGGGTACAGCTGGGATTAGGGGGGACCACCCCAGGTTTTCTGGATTCCCCAACAGCAACACCCAGGGGTAAGAGATCCCCCTTACCTGGCCTCTCCTCTGAGGACCTTCCACGCCGCCCAGGCCACGGAAGGCCTCGTAGCCCTCAGGAGAAATCCCGTGTCCGCGGCCCATAAGTGGTCAGGGGGTGCCCATGCCTGAAGCTCTCTCCTCTTCACGGTGGCTGGTGCTCCGTGGCTCTAAGAACGAATTTACCGAGTTGAACACATTCAGTTACTTTCTACGGTGTTTTCAGGCCAGGAAAGGGCTGCGCAGGGCAGGACTCAGGTGAAGTGTTATCCAACCAACCCCAAAGCTAAAGAGAGAGAATTTGGCTTTTCCAAAAAGCCATGTAGAATAGACACTAAGCAGCAAATGAGGGTAATTACTGCTCAAGATTCCTAGCCTGGCCCTCTGCGGGCTCGGAGGTGTCATTGTGTATTTTCATTCATTCGGCCACAGTGTTGACTGAGCACCTACTAGGTATCAGGCCTTGCTCCAGGCAGTGGGTAGGGGGTAACAGAACTGTCGGGAACTTGGAAGGGGCTGTTTTCCCCCTGCTTGCAAGCTAACGAGGTAGCCTGCCCAGCTGACAGATGCTGGCAGAAGACAGGAGACCCCGGGGCCGGAGACAGGACCTGACTACTCTTAGAATGGACAACAGGCAGGCGGCATCCTAACTGGGATCGCGTCCGTCTGTCCATTTGTCCACTTGCACCTCTGCTGACTTCTCCTTTGAGTAAGGTGACCAGACGTCCCGCTTTTGGCGGGACAGTCCCGATTTTCAACAATTTGTCCCTCGTCCTGCGGCGTTTTAAAAAAAAGTCCCGATTTTATTTTTAAAAAATCGGGACTTTTCTAAAACGCCGCGGGATGCGGGACAAATTGTTAAAAATCGGGACTGTAAATCGGGACTTTTTTAAAAACGCCGCAGGACGAGGGACAAAGTGTTGAAAAGCGGGACATCTGGTCGCCTTACCTCTGGGCAGACGGTGTGTCCCATTCATTCTGAATAGGATGTGGGGTGATCGGAGGAATGCCTCTTTCTAACCGGTTTCTTTCTGAACACCTCGTCCAGGAAAAGCAGAGAGTATGAAAGCCTATCTAAAGAGCGCCAAAGGCTTTTTTGTCCTGAACAAAAGTACGACGATTGGAAGGCACGAAGACTCAGACCTGGTTCTAGCGGTAAGAAGCCGTCCGCCCCGTTCCCTCGCCCCCTCCAAAGCCCCGGCTGTTTTGTGGACTCACATCTCTTTTGAAACGTAACCTCTGGCCTTCAGCCACCTTTCCTCTCCGTGTGCTGCCCACAACCCCTGGCAACACGTGCTGGGCTTCAGCAAGAAGCGTAGTGAAAACGTGCGGGGCGCCCTGACTGGTTTGGCTCAGTAGGTAGAGTGTCCGCCTCCAGACTCAAGGGTCCCAGGTTCGATTCCGGTCAAGGACATGTACCTTGGTTTCAGGCACATACCCAATGGGGAATGTGCAGGAGGCAGCTGATTGATGTTTCTAACTCTCTATCCCTCTCTCTTCCTCTCTGAAAAAAAAAAAAATCAATAAAATATTTTTTAAAAGAAAATGTATGAGGCACGGCTACAGTGTTTGGACAGGTTCAAGCTTTGGACTGATGAGAGGGCACAGTCCTCTCGTGGCCACGTGCAAGTCCCAGCTTGGAGGGAAGAGCCCTCCCAGCACAAAGATAGCCAACAGCTGTAGTTGTGAGCTTGAGCCTATGGTCCAAACTCGTGGCACCGTATGCCCAGTGGTTGGCAAACCATTTTGCATTCTCCCCTCCCCTCCTCCCCACTTCACCCCCCGCCAGCGGTATATGAGACACGGTTTTACTGCATCCTCACCAGCAAGTACGATTATCCCCGTCTCTAATAGCTGTGTTAGTGCGTAGTGAGAGCTGATCCTAGTTTTAATTGCACTTCCCACACGGCTAGTGTTTCTGAGTATTTAGTGCCTTCTGCATATTCTCATTGGTAAAATGTCTCCTCATGTCTTTTGCCCATTTTCTAATCAGATCATTTGTGGGGTATTTTCCTATTGCGTTTTGAGAGTTCTTTCTGTATCTTAGATATGAGTCCTTTGTCAGAGGTATGGTTTGCAAATATTTTCTCCCACCCAGAGTCTGTCTCTTCATTCTCTCCACAGAATATTTCACAGAGCAAACATTTTAAATGTTGATGAGGTTCAGTTTATCATTTGTATTTTTTTATAGACCCTGGTTACAGGGTCCCCATGCTCTTGATTCTGAGGATTCTCTCTTATGTTTTCTTCTATTTAATAAAAGTTTTGTAAATGTCTTATATATAACTATATGAACCTTTTTGAGATCATTTTTTGTTTACGTCAAGTTTTATTTTTATTACACATGGGTATCCAGTAGCTCCAGAACCATTTGCTGAAAAGACTGTTCTTTCTTCATTGAATGGCTTTTGCAACTTTGCCAAAAACCATTTGGCCAAACTGTGCGGGGCTGTTTCTGAGTTCCCTATTGCATCTCATTGATTCTGTGTCCAACAATCTACCAATATGACATGGTCTAGATTATCATAGCCATATAAGCCTTAAATCATTTAGAGTGACTCTGCCCACTCTATTCTTCTTTTACAATTTTTAAAAACTATTCTATATATTTATTTTGCCTTCCCATATAAATTTTAGTAACAAGCCTGTATATACAAAATACCTTGCTGGAATTTTTATAGGAATTGTGTTTAAACCTCTATATCAGTGTAAGAATAATTGATATCTTTACCATGTTACCTTCCACCCACAAACATGGTACTTTTCTCCATGTACTCAGGTGGTCTTTTATTTCTTTCATGAGTGTTCTGTAGTTTTCAGCATACCAGTCTTATACATTTTTGTTATACATTTACTCTTGTTCCTCTCTCTCTCTCTGACTATAAATGGCATTATTAATTTTGGTGTCCACATGTCATTGACAGTAAACACAACAGATTTTTTATGCTTGTATGATACCTTTCAACCTTAACTGAACTTTCTAGAAGGCTTTTTATAGATTTCCTTGGATTTTATACCCACACAATCATGTCATCTGAAAGAAAAAAAAAAAAGGAACAATGTCACTTCTCTGAGAAAAGGAGAATGGAATGCCTCTAATTTTCCTTTCTTGCGTTAGTGCGTGGTCCAGCACTTCCAGTACTCTGCTGAAAAGTGTTTGCTTGTTCCCGATCTTAGGGGGCGGGGGCATTCAGACTTTCTCCGTAAATGGGATGCTCACTGTAGTTTTTTTGTAGATGCTCTTAGAGAAAGTCCCCTCCTTTGTTCCTAGCTTCCTGAGACTGTTTATTATAAACTCAACAGGTTTAAAAATAACTCAGTGCCCCCCCCATCCTCATCCCTGTGTCCATCTCCCCACAAGGACACAGAACATCTGTTGAGTGCCCAACGGGGGGGTTGGGGGGGGAGGAGAAAACGGGAAAAAATTCCAGTTTCTCCTTCATCACCACAGGACAGAGGCGGTTTTAGGTGGTCTTATCTCCCGTCTGGCTGTCATGGAGACGGGGAGCTCTGGTTTGAATCTGACGGCGATATGAGAAAACCGTGGCAGTTTTCAAAAGCACAGGCTCCGGGGGTAGACAGGCCTGGCTCTGAATCTCATTAAGGCCACGTTCTGGCCGCATGACTTAGATCGAATTAATCGAGTTTATCGCTCTGAGCTCGTCCGCCCCGTCTCCAAACCACTTACCCCATCACAGGGCCGCTGTGCGGGTTCAGACAGACACGCAGGTACAGTGCCGCTTCTCTGCTGCTACATAAAAACACCACGATGGTTATTACTGTCTCAGAAAACAAACAGAGACACAAGAATCCTCAGAGGTACATCCACCGATCCTGACTTGTCTGGGAGGGGGAACTAATGAGGACAGTTGTCACTTAGGCAGAAATTGAGCGGCACTCGGTGTATAAACAATAATTGACTGTGTCTGCCCCTTGGGCGGAGTTTATTGACGGAGAAATGAGCTGCCGATGCAGCGGTGCGGGCTCAGCCTGGCTCCGGGGAACGGGTGATGCGTGAACTGCCAAAGGTTTGGTCAACAAACCTGACGGGCATGTCTGTCTGCTCCTAGACAAACCCTCTCCTCCCAGAGCCTCGGTGGATTCGGGCGAGGAGATCTGATTTGAAAAGGGATCTGGGGACACGGGTCTGTTTTGACAAACCAAACCTGCACACACGTCAGCATTCTCCAGTTTTTATAAAGCGGGACGGGGTGAACATTGCCCCTGTCTGCCGGCTTCACTGGCCTTTTCTGATTACAAGAGTCACCCTTGACCAGCTGGAGGCCACCCTGAGGTGCAATTCCACAGGCAAACTTACAGTCACCAATAAAGATAAAATAAAATAAATAAATGAATGACATTTATAGCTGCCACTAGAAGCCATGCCACTAACTAAAGTTCAGAAATGTGTGTTAACAAAAAAAAGGTGTCCTTGACGTAACCCCGAGGTTACATCTCGCAAATAAAAATAAAAAAATAGATTGTTTGTTTTATTCACTTGGGTAAATCCCAAGGGACAGGCAGCGATGCTTCTAAAGGTTGAAGCATCATTTGTGAGGCTGACACGGGGTTTTGATTGTTGATATCACACAGAGTGGGGCGAAAGTAGGTTCACAGTTGTGAGCATGCAAAATTGCGTTTACGCTTGTATTATGACTTATCAGTTATTGTGTTATGTTCCGTTCAAACACCTGGATACCTACTTTTCCCCCCACCCTGTATTTTGAAATCATCCAACTTTTTCTGATCATGAAAGGCGGTTACATGCTATTGGTTTTTAAAAAACTGGAGGGAAAGCCACGTGTAAGGAAGAAAAAGCCCCTGGTAACCATGCGGCTCAGAGAAAATCGGCGTTGGGATTTGCAAGGGCTGCGCCCCAGGCCTTGTCTGTGTCCGATAAGGGTCTGATTCCCTTCCAGGAAGCCCGTGTGTGCCAGCTCAGGTATCGCCGCTGGTGTCGCTCCTCATTCCACAAATATTTACCCTGAGCCTCAGCTCAGAGGCAGTCCCGGGACACGGCGCTGGCCTGGCCACATCGGGCAGGGTCCCCGTAGTCAGGGTCCCCGCAGCCAGGAAGCGGCGAGGAGGCAGAGATGGGAGTCACAGGTCCCACGGAGGCCCGAGGAGCTCCCAGCCAACACCGACTCCGGGGCTCCCGGGGAAAGAAATGGGGAGGACAAGGAGGGCTTCACCGGACCAGGGAGGAAGGGGGTGGCATGTGCAAAGGCCCTGGGGCCAAAGAGCATGCTGTGAGTCTCAGGGGCGGAGAGAGAAAACCGGTGTGTCCAGAGCAGGAGCGGGGAGGAGGCGGGCCGAGAGGAGGAAGAGGTCTCCTTAGCTGGAGCGCTTTGATCTCTATCGGGAGAGGAATGGCAAGAAGGCACTGGAGGATCGTGAGCAAAGGGGAGGGCTGTGTTTTGAAACGACAGTCCTGGCCGCCGTGTGCAGGCTGGCCACCGGGCGCTCGGTCACAACCTCCCCTCGCCACGGCTGGAAGCCCCGCCCCCGCACACTTCGGGGCTGAACGTTGTAGCTTGTCATGTACATGGTCTGACGTGGCGCATGGACTGTAATTTGTAGAGTGGGATGTGGCTGTTGTTTAAACCGCCGAGAGAGGGGCTTGATTCTCCTCTCGGATGAAAGAACTCTGCAAGCCAAGGGTTGTTGGATTTTTCATCTGCGGAAAGGTGCTTGTTAAACATGAGCCCAGACTGCTGCCTCAGAGGAGTGGGGGGGGGGGGGGGGGGATGAGACCTAGGGACCCTCCCATTATGTGCTCCCCTCGTTCAGGTGGTGGCTGTGGGGTCCCATGGAGGTGTTCCAGGAGCACACTTTGAGAACCCCATGCTTCCTCCCTTCTGACGTGGGCGCTCCCATTTGGGGGATGTGTGTGTGAGGGTCTGTGAGGGTGAGGGTGAATGTGTACACTCTCTCAATAAACTTTGGGGGGGGGGGGAGGAAGGGAAGGTTAAGCAGTGGAGCACTGACAGGCCCTGCCCCCTCCCCAAGAACTCACCTGGCCCGGCACTGGGGAGGTTTCAGATCTCCTTGACCCCTGAGCTCCGGACCACCTCCATCAGCACAGTGCTGTGGCCAGGAGGGCGGGGAGGGAGGGAAAACCAAGGGCAGAACCCACAGGGGGTGGAATGCCCATC